AAATGGAGGGTGTAAAATGCACCCAGGAAACACGGGTCTAAGGAAAAAAGTGAGGAAAAAGCAGTCATCTCAAAAAGCTTTCCTATTAGCTCAGAGACTGGAGCACAGTCATACACCCAAATGCTCCCAAGGCTCAAAGAGCTAATGGAAAGGAAGCAGAGTAGGTTGAGTGGAGGGTTTGATTTTTAAAATTTTTTTTGGCTGGCTGGACATATCGAACACAGGTTTTAATCAAGAATACATGCAGATAGATTTTTTTTTAAAGAAAATAATATAGAGCTTTAAAATGAAAGGCCAACAGACCCTTGCTCCACCCCTTCCTTAGGGTCCCAGTCTCCAGAATTAGGGTGGACGCTTTGATACATCTCCCAGATCCCCCAGCAAGGATGAGTTGCCACAGTTGCTGGGAGGGCTGTAGGCAGACAGACCTCAGAGGTCAGCCGCTTCAGGCAATGCCTGGACTGCAGAAAGCCACCTTGCCCAAGGGCACCCACATGCAGCCACCCATCATGGGCAGTTCATAAAGTCTGGGGCTGCTCAGTGCAACTCCAGGCTCGTTCGAAGGGCCATCTTAGCCCCAGCGCCCCCCTGTGGTCGGCCGAGGCAGCCTGTCATTGGACCTGCACAACAGGTAGACTTCTCTCTCTGTGCGATCCTCCTTCCTGTTCTTCCTTTAAAGAGGTCTTGGTCCCAGGATGACTCCCTAAAATTAGAAAATAAATAAATAAACAGACAAACAAAAACCTGCACTCTAAACTCCAGCACAAAGTTTGCTTTGGCTTCATAGGAACACAACCTATCATACGAGGCAGCCACTTTAGTTTTTTACTGAAGTACAAGTTACACACAGAAATTGAACACACACATTTCCAGCTCAGTGTACTCGTACAAGCTGAAAAAACGATTGACCAGAACCAGATAAAAGGAGAACATCTCCAGAACCTCGGAAGAGACACTTTTAACATGTATTTAAAACGTCTAATAAAATTTCAACTTGAGGCTAACAATTCTTTAGAGAAATACAAAATAAAGGAGAAACTATTTCCTAAGATGGTGCTCACAGCTCAAATTTTAAAAAAAAGACTTTAAATATAAAACTTACAATATTACACATAGTATAGTATTATTCTCAATATTTGTATTGCTTAAAACTGACTTAGGAATGATTCTCATTGGCAGAATAGGCTAACAAATGACTAGGATATGCGTAGAAGCACCAGGAATCCTTCCAGATGGTCCGTGAGAGGCTCGCCTGTCTTCCTCTCTGGGAAAACAGACCCGTTTGGAGATGAGCATCAACCTGGTCCTTCTCTGTGTGTCTCCTGACCATCTTCTCACTGATCTTTCACCCCAGGACTGTTTCTCTCCGGCTGCAGAAAAAGTAAGTCCAACAACTGCCCTACGAGATTCCCTTCTTTGTTTCTGAGAAGCTACACCATTGGAAGACAAGGAGGTTTGAGGGAAGGTTGATTGATAACTTGAAATGCAGGGAGAAGGACAACTTGGAGGGACAAGAAGGGAAGCTGAGAAGAAGAGATTGAAGACAAACTGAGCTCCACCCACCCAGGACTCTTCCGCACCCCTACCCGACCATCTTCCGCGCGCACACTCCTAACCTATCAGTTCCCTGGACATTTGTTATCCCGCCTAGATGGAGGGTAGGGACACAGATACTCCGTAAAAAGAGGCCGTCTTCCACCAAAACGGAGCCTAATAAAACCAGTGGAGAAGGAATTCCCCTTTGAGTCAAGGACTTGGGATCCACCATCACTGTCACGAACACCACCCGGAAAGAAAACGCCAGGGCTGAATTCTGTGATGATTAATTCAGAAGAGTTTACTATCTGAGTCATGAACTGGAAGAAAAGGAATTAATGAGTTAAATACAAGGGATAGTTTGAAATACTCAGTAATTTTGTAGGAAAACTTTCTAGCACGGAAGGAGGGAAGGTTAGAACTAGGAACTCAAAAGGATCAGGTATGAGGCAATATGCTTGGAGGCTGTGGCAAAGCTATTGAGTAGCGTTTCCTTCAGGGATGGAAACCAGAACCCTGAGGGCACGAATGAGAGCAAGAGAAAGCAAAAAGGAGCTATTAATGGTTAACCTCTATTGAATAGCTATACCATAAATTAGGTGGTGTTCTAAATGCAAAAGTGAAATCATTTCATGCATCCAAGAACCTTATGAGGCAGATATTATTTTCAATCACATTTTACTGATGAGTAAACAGAGGCACAAGGAGATTAAGTAACTCGTCCAGGGCTGTCCAGCTAGTGAGTGGTGGAGACAGGATTTGAGCCTAGGAGACCTGGCTTTATTGCCTTTGTACTTAACCTCTGCATCTTGCTACCCCAGAGGTGCATGTACCATGAAGCTAGTGGACCTTAAGCTTCAGGCCTTTCATTTGCTTGGGACCCTGTAAAGCCTGGACCTAATTTTGTAATTTGTAATCTTGTGTTATTTTTCTTAAAGAGGATTCTCCTCATTTGCATAAGTTTCGGGCTCCACGAAACCTATTTCCACCTTGTTGACCATCAGTAAGAAAGTTATGACAGGACAGCTCCGGCAACTGTGAGTAATTTTTTTCTGTATAAATATAACACCTATGGGAGGAAAAACTGCTTCCCAAATGTTTTCCTGTCATGGAACACATGGTTTTCTGTTTGCAAAGCTGAGTGGAGTTAAAGGAGAAAGAGGTTCCAGGCTGGTGGTGACCACCCCATTGTTCCTACTGCTGAAGGGATCGGTTTCTCAGCACACCTCCAATCTACTTGGGACCCCTGACTGAGGCGCAGCGGGTGGAGAAGCCTGCACAAGCCCATTCCTCGGAGCACAGGGCTTCAAAGGTGGGCAGAGCTAACAAAGAGCAGAAGTTCATACCATGTCCTAGGAGCCCAGAGCAAGAGCGTGGGATTGCCCAGACTGGAGGAATAAAAATGAGATGGGCACTTTAAAAATCGCTTTTATTTATTATTTACTGTATAAACTGACTTTTTTTTTTTTTGAGTAATGGGATGCTTACAAGTGTGAGGGTCAAAGGACTTCCATGAAAGGTATGAGAATGATCTGTAGAAACTGTCTTTTCCTCTGACTGACTTTTGTGTGAATACTTGTCACCCTAAAATAGTAGCTATCTTGGAAACATTTCTGAGATTTTTGTGTGAAATATTTCTGTGCTTCCCAGATTTCACACAAGGATCCTGCAGCTTTTCTGTCCCCTTTAGGAAGAATGACAAACTGCAGTCTCCAATGGAGAGGTAAGGGACAAAGGGAGACTTAGCAGGCACCACGCGTTAGGTGCGGCACAGCCGGTAAATATTCCCGGATTGTTGAAAAGACCGCACCTCTGAGAACTCAAAGAACGTGTGCAGGTTAAAACAGGTAATTCGTGGTGAAGTAACTAGGACCCTGGGATTTCAAAGCCCAAACACTAGCCCCCACTTCTGCCCAGGACAGGGGTTTATTTGTTTTAATAAAAGAAGTGCTTATGTCAAGACCATCCAAAAAAACCAATTGCTGTTGAGTCAATTTAGACTTTCAGACTTGTGGCGGCCCCACATGTATGAGTAGAACTGCATCCCATGGGATTATCAGAGGCTGATTTTTTGGACGTAGATCACCAGGTCTTTCTTCTGAGGCACCTCTGGATGGACTCTAACCACCAACATTTAGGTTAGCAGTTTAATGCATTAACTGTTTGCAGCACCCAGGGGCTCCTTCAAGACTACAGGATATGCGATGGGTACATGGAGGTTCATTATGCTATTCTACTTTTTTTATACGTTTACAATTTTCCATGATAAAACGTTAAGAGTAAAACAAGGAAGAAGACCATAGGGCAGGGAAAAAATATGTTCTTTCACTTGTCTCAAAAACGGTGTGGCTGTACCTTCCGTGTGGAAATGTGTGTGAGTAAAACCTTTCCAAGGACGCGCACTGACATAAAATTTGTGTAGCCGACGTATGACCTACAGGCAGAGGCCCACAGGAGCCACAGGCAGCTTTCCTGCCTGCAAGAAATACACAGGGAGTAATTAGAGTTACACCCAAAGGCTTTTGTGCACAAATGCTCATCACAGTGTCATTTATAATAGCTACAAATTGAAAACAATCTACATGCCCCACAGTAGGGAAATGATTAAATAAATTACATTCATATAATGAAATATCATTCCTATTAAAAATCGTATTTTGCATGATGATTAAATTCCATGCATGATCCTACATTATTCCTGGATGCTGGAAGAGTTTTTCAAAAAGCTATAAAGAACATTACTAGAGCAACTGGGAATTTTTGAATATATACTGCATACTAGATAATATTATTGTATCATTGTATTGACTGTAAATTTGGGGTATGGAAAAAAAACCATTGCCCTCAAGTGGACTTCAACTCATAGCAACCCTGTAGGACAGAGTAGAACTTCCTCATAGGGTTTCCAAAGCTGTAATCTGTAGGGAAACAGACAGCCACATCTTCCTCCCTCGGAGCAGGTTTGAACCGCTGACCTCGTTGAATAGAGATTTTGCTCTTATCTTTGAACATATTAACAAACAGAAGGTTCCAGGCTCTTGTGATTATGGTAACATGAGTGATAGGGTGATATTCACCCAAATATTTGCAGCTTTCCGAGCACATAAGCCTCCCTGAGTACAAAAACTCCAGGCCCCGTGGGATGGAAAGCAAAGTGACTTTCAGAGAAGACTGAGCCGTGAGCCTCTCCTACCCACCCGGAAAGGAGAAACCTCGCTGTCTCCCGGGGATCCTGATTGCCTCAGCATGCAGCACTCTGCACACACAATAAAGGCACATTCTTACGGTACAGCTTTTTTCAGAATCAAATAAATAAATACTCTAGAAAAAATGACATATATTTAATAAAACTGGGCGAAGGCAGTGGGATTCAGGTTAATGGGGAATAGTTCTCTTTCCTTTTAGTGACTAGCACATATGTAGGGTAGTACAGATAATAAATTGATCAGCTTCCTCCTCACTGGTGTTGGCTGTCTAATTTGGCTGTCCATTGTGGGCTCAAGATAAAGGAAATTCCTAGGGAGGCGGGCTTTTTGTTGGGCTCATCTGACGGTTAATACTGTCAATGCATTAATCATGTTAATCAATAGTCATCCGCTGGTGGTAGAGAAGGCTCGGGAGCACCTCCGTCAGGCGTGGCGATTCAGTGTGCAGACGGTAAGAGGGGCAGTGTTCGTGCCTTCATTTGGGAGGCAAGGGGAAAAGATAGGTCGGAGAGCGCCTTGGAAAGAGGCTGGAGGGAAACTATAGATGAGGGACTCATCCGTCGCATTGTAGAATGCTATATGTCCAGATTCGTAGTCCAAGAAAACACCAACCTTCTGCACAGGCTCTCTGACATGTTGACCTTTTAAAGGCGAAGACACCCAAAGACTATAATCGTCTCCAATCTTTAAACCAATGAGTGAGAAGAGGTCCCCAGGGGGCTTTGGGAGGTTCCCCTTTCTGCTCACTGAGTCCTTGCAGATGCCCACTTCCCACTCGGTCTTGTTCCCCACTTCCACCTCCCAGTAGTGTCTCCCGCAGGTGAAGGTCTGGGCCCCCAGCACGGTTGCAGACTGGTCAAATCTTTCTGGGTTGTCCGGTAACTGCTGTCTGATTCCTCCGTGTTTAACGCTTTTCAGATCATCCGACAGGACGAGGTAGGCATTGGCTGTGACTGGATCCAGAGTGATGTCCGCTGTAAGAGGAGAAAAGAATGAATTCTGCTTTGGCATTCTCGGGGAGAAAATGCGTATGTGTGCAGTTCAAATACTCAGTATCTAGTCTTTTTTTTAAAATGTGATTTAGGTGAGTATGGTGGGTTTTGCTGTTTTGTTTATAATGGAATCTCTAAGCCCTTCTTTCATTGTTTCAAAAAACATGAAGAGAGAACCTCTTAAAGGAAACAGAAGAGAATTATGGACGGTGTTCAGCCCGCCTGAGAGAAATCTCTGGTAGTAGAGGAGGCTGTTTGGTTTAAGACAGTTTTGGAACTCTGAGCTCTTCATCCCCACAGGGCACACCCTTTTTATGATTTGTAAATCCCTGCTACAGCCAAGGTTAGTCCTGGTTCCTCAGTTTGAGTGGGAGGGAAATACCGACAGTTCCCACTTACTGAACACCTACTGTGTGCCAAGCATTTTCTGTACATTACCTCATCTAATCATCCCAAGTGTTATTAATGTTTTCTTTTTAGAGACGAGAAGAACGAGGTTCATCAATGTTAGTAAACTTGACCAAGATTATAAAGGTACTGCGTGTTTGAATAGCAATTCTTAATCAGCATTTTTCATTACATCATGATTAAAGGCAACTTCCTGTGAGTTAGTGCCCCCCTCATGGCCACGGAATGAAGCACATTGTGAAAAGTTGGGTGCCTCCTTTCCCGTCTCCTGAGAGGACGTCACATCAGAGGCCTCCAACTTTCACTGACTGTCCAGACACAATTAGGTACCCTGTCATATAATTCCATAGTTTTATTTATAGGCCAAATCAAAATGGTCACTTTCTGCATGATTATTTAATGTCTTGTCTTCTCAATTTCTCTAAAATTCTACAAAAGCAAAGGCAACGCTGTCTGATTCATGACTGTAAGCCCAGGGCCTAATAGCATAGCATCCGGCATAAGGTAGGCACTGAACGTAACGTCTGTTGAGTCCAAAGCCCGTTAAGCCTTCTTCTGAAGGTCAGATTGTCAACAAGATGAAGGTTGAGAGCCAGCGCTGATCTCTCTTGGCCCTACCATTCTAAAAGGGTAGTTCTTTGAAAGTTTGCTCACTGGGATTTAAGAGTTCAAGTCAGCTTTTATCCTAACAAGAAAGAGCTGGAAATGCAGAAAACTTTACAGTTGAGTGTGTGAGTGTGAGTGTGTGAGTGTGTGTGTGTGTGTGAGTGTCTGTGCGTGCAGTAGGGGTGGGGGTGAGGACAACACAGAACAATAAACACAAAGAAGGATCAGGACTCCACAGACAGAAAACTGAAGTCTGAGCAAAACATCGGTCACGTGTCAATGTTTCTCTTTGCTCCAGCGCAGACCCGGTCCGTGGCCCAGGCTCCCTGGTGTTTCATGCTGGCCTGGGACTCCTTAGGTCACAGCCTGGCACGGCCAATATGTGATACTATAAGAAGCTTCTAAAGGCTCACTTTGCATCCCTTGACAGAACTTAACGCTGAAACTCCCCGGAGGTTTGACAAATCAGGCTAACTTACTGCTGAATTTTCTTAGCATCTCCCTCATTCCTGTGATACGGCAGAGACTCAGCTCCGTGGTGGTGGCCTCGGGGCACTGGTGCAAGAGTGGGCCACTCCTGCAAGAGGGCAGAGACAGAGAGTCACCCTCTCTCTTTGGCACTGACCACAGAACCTGCTCCAACTTGAGAGTCCATTTCATTTTGCCCCAACAACATACACACTCTCGACTCTAATAACCTACGTCATCAGCACCAAATTCTTGTATCTCACGTTAGAACACAAAATGGAAACCTACCTCTCCAGGGCTTCTCTCACTTCCTAAGGGTATAAAAGAAGGAAAATTAGTATTTGCACACTTTGATGATCAGCAAGGACTGAATCCATTTTGGGTACAGTCCTTAGTAGAGTTCAAGAATCCATTCCCCATGGCCCTATAACACCTTGAATGGGACAACAAATGGCAGGAAAAATCCCACATTTCTTCTAGGGTGGTTCCTGGTGAACAAGAGGTATTTTTTCACAATGACTGAAAAAAAAAACAACAAACCCATTGCCATCGAGTCAATTCTGACTCATCATGATCTTATAGGTCACAGTAGAACTGTCCCATAGGAGCGGCTGGTGGATTTGAACTGCCAACCTTTTGGTTAGCAGCCAAGCTCTTAACCACTGCGCCACCAAGGTTCCAAACCAAACCCATTGCCGTAGAGTTGATCCCAACTCATAGCAACGTTATAGCAGGAGACTACTTTGTCCTTTTCTTTTTTGCATGTCTTCATAGAACCTGTTGTTGACAAAGGAGTCAAATCATCAGCCTCATTATCCAATGTCTCAGAAACCAGAGATAAGAAAAGGAAAACGGCCCAGTAAGAGCTGAGACCAACACTATGTAAGTTTGGAGGACTTGGTTCCAAAACAACAAAAAACCAAACCCGTTGTCGTTGAGTCGATTCCGACTCATAGCAACCCTATGGGACAGAGTAGAACTGCCCCGTAGGGTTTCCAAGGAGCAGCTGGTGGATTCAAACTGCCGACCTCTTGGTTAGCAGCCGTAGCTCTTAACCACTGCACCACTAGGTGCTAAATTAAATAGTAGAATTCTGTGGAACCAGTCCAGGAAACAGACCTACAGCTGGAGTTGACTCACATGACTTACGTTTATGAACGTCCTGGAGAATACAGTAGGCCTGGGGGGCAGTATAGCAAAGATGGTAGGAAATAGGGACTAGGCACACAAAGCACCTGGGTTTCCCATCTATTAGCTATGTGACAGACAAACTACCTAATGGCCATAGGCCTCAGTTATTAAAGATGTACCAGGATTTAAGAGTAAGTCAGCTTTTATAGTAACCAGCAGAGCTAGAAGTGCAGAAACTCCTGCAAGAGATGTTCGTGTTGTTTGTTGAGCACGTGACAAAAGCCAGTTTACAGATGAGATTCATCCATAAATGTCATAACAGTACTTATCTTCACCAGGTAGTTATGAAGATTAAAATCAATGTGCCCGGCACATAGCAAATACTCATGAACAAATGTAGTAAAATATTTGACAGAGCTAAAGTGGCCGAGAGGCAAGCACAGACAAAATTGGGGTCACACCAGGCTTGGCTGGGATACGGGTTCCTCTGTTTTTTCCTCTTCCTCCTCAAGAGTTTATTTACAGTGTCAATTCTTTAGGAAAACTGCATTTGAGGCAGAAGTTAGATTTCCAGTTGAATAAAGAAAATATACTTCCTACAGCTCAAGGTACTAGGAAGTTTTACATTTTTTCCCCATGAATTTTCCCGACACTCTCATGGACTTTTTCTCACCTCAAACGATTCTGTACTTGAATTCTGACACACGGACTCTATCTGGTCCATCATTTTGCTCAGGCTTCTGATTTGTTGGGTCAGCTGGATCTCGTTGCTCCTCAGTTTCTTCAGGTTCTCTCTTTCCTCCTTTTCTAGTAGCTGGAGTTGCAGCTGTTCCTCCTCCTTCAGGAACTGATGCATCTTCATATATTCTGACACAACTACCTGTTTACAACTCTTTGTCTCTTCCTGTTATCACACACACATGCGCGTGCACACACACACGCAGGGTGTCATAAAGTTAGTAACAGAAACACTCATATCTCGAAATTTGTATTCCTTTCAAAGTTCTAGAGTTCAACAGAGACATTTCTTGAAATGTGACACATTTTATATATATATGAATATATATACACTATTGATTACCCATAAAAAAGCCATTGCCATCAAGTGGATTCTGGCTCATAGTGACACTACGGGACAGAGTAGAACTGCCCCCCATGAGGTTTCCAAGGAGCAGCTGGTGGATTCAAACTGCCAACCTTTTGGTTAGCAGCCAATCTCTTAACCACTGTGCCATTAGGGCTCCTACTATTGATTAGATGGGTGGATATTTTGATATTTTAGAATGTGTGTGCTATAAATACAGTAGTAAACACAACCAAATTTTCTATTCTTAGGAAGCTGTTATTCTTGTGGGAAGAGACCAAAAATACACAAATAAATATGACATGTGGTGATCAGTACTGTGATAAATAAAGCAAGGTAAGGAGAAAAATAAAAAATACGTGAGTGTTAATTTATTCAACTTTTTTCCAATAGAATTAGTATTAGATTGCATGCTACCAACAGAAATACGCATCACAAACACGTCCATTTAAGAAGGGAAAATCTATTAGGAGAATCCGGTCCACACACACATAGTTTTTAAAATATCTAAATAAAAACATTTAATTCTTTGCTTTGGCGGCTAGGCAACTCAGGTCCAAATCTGTGGCCAACCTCTAGCATTTGTTCATGCGCACTAACTCAAACTACTAAAACCCAACCCAACCCGTTGTCGTCGGGTCAATTCTGACTCATAGGGACCCTATCCCTTATTTTCATCTATGTTTCATTTATTTTGATTTTATTGAACTTCTTTTTCCCCATAGCATTTGAGGCCTTCCTTTTTTTTATTGATGTTCATCCTATGATATATATCTATAACTCATATTTTAAATAATTATAATCAGAGTCATAGTATAGATAGCAGAGAGTTGTATGGGCACACAGAGAAGGAAAAAAATAAGTCTGTCTGGGGTGGGGGAAATAGTTTGAGATGAGCCCTGAGATTTCCAAATGGACAAGGGAAGGGTTACTGGGACTGGGGGAAAAAACTCCTGATATTTCATTAAGTGTCTCTTTAGTCCCCCTTATAGAATCATATACAAGATCCAAAAGTTAGACAAATACTGACCTTACACAATATCACTCTCTCCTTCTCGTGGGTTAAGATAGCCTGAGCTTCCTTTTTCCTCTTACGCAACGTATTTAGGATCTCCTGGAGTTTCTCCTGCAATAGAAACAAACTCTCTGTGGCAAGGGAGCAGAGAACCAGGTTAAGAAGAGGCCTTGAAGACCAATGACAACAAGATGACTGGGACCATGCACGTTTGTGGTCTGGTGCCTGGAGATCAGCACCCATGACTGTCACCAAGAGAGAATACTATGGGAGTTATCAGAGACAGTTCTGATAAGTGAGGGAATCTACTTTCCCTTCTGAGTTTTATACTGAGCAGCCAGTCTTACTTTGTGGTACTCCTCAGCCTCATTGGAGAGACACCCTCTGTTTATCCCGTGACTTTGGGTTGAGTAAGAGTTTACACTCTGCTCGTCATCAGAGAACACTTTAGTGGCTGCCAGCATTCTCCCGTAGCTGCCTTGCTCGTCCTCACTCTGCAGCACCTGGGACCTGAGTTGCTTGCCAATGTTGGCCAGCCTCCCCAAACGCTCATTGGGCTGGAAATGAGGGATCGCCAAGGTCCTCCAGCACTCGGGACAGGATACGGGCGTGCTATGCTCCTCCCAGCTCCTGAGAAGACACACCAGGCAAAAGCTATGTCCACACTCAGTGGTCACTGGGCTGGTGAAATAGTCCAAGCAGATGAAACAGGTTAGTTCTTCTCTGAGGTTTTCCATCAAATCTGCTGTAGACATTTTGTCAAGGAGGGACATCAGGACAAGGTCACGCCTCTATTCTGGGATTAGAAAAGTCCTCGCTGAACTTCTATTGTTCTGAATAACAAGTGGGTGATCAATTGCTATGATGTTCTCACAAGAAATCCTTATTCTCCTCCGTGCTTATTTCACCAATTGACATATACTCCCCAACACAAAGCCAATTATGACTCAACGTAGAACTCCTGTACACTGGATTCATCATTAACCCCAGCTTTTACTGAACTTCTCTCTGTGCAGTCCACATAATGGACACTGAAGATCCTTGCTCCTAACAGACTTACTATTTTGAGAGATGTTTACTTATATGAACAGCACTGTGACACCACTTTATCACCTTGGTTTCTGGCTGGAGGGTTGGGTAATATAGGGTAAGCCAGTACAGAGATTTGAATAATGATTATCTGAATTGGAGGTATGGTCCAAATATTTTGGAAAACTAATGGAACCTAGGCGAGACACTGAAGGAAGCAAACTGAAGTATATAGCCCTCCTCTCATTAGGTCCTTTTCTCTGCCTACTAAAGCCTACACTTATTGTTCTTTTATCAAGTACCATATTCTTTAATTTTATTCATCCCAACAAAATGAGAGAAATCCCAGTGTTGAAGAATTCCATGACTTCATATGTACAATGAATTAGTAGAGTTGCATCTACTGCTTTGCCCTGCTCTTAGACAATTGCAATCACCCTTCTGCCATCAAGGAAGGCATCTTAAACAACACTCTTGTAAGATGGCTCAATAGGCCATTATACCATGGGATAGATGGGGATAATCACATTTTGTTATAAATATAATTTTCCTCACATATTTTCACCCTTTGAAAATGTCCAAACTAGGCCTTCTCCAACTCCTTATTCTCAATCACTTCTTACTGGACAGTAATTAAATGTGTAGACGTTATTTTTTTAAGACTCATGAGAAAAATAAGTGTATACTATGGAGATTTTATATAATGACAACTGAGATTATGGCACTATGTCATTGTCAGGGCCCACTTTCCTTTGTCTGCCAGAAAGCAAGAAGACCTCAGAAGCTCTTTCTCAGAGTCTAACCAGCCCCACTCTCCCATTAAGCTCATCATACCATATTTCCGTTTTTATCCTGTCATTCTCTAGCTTCCCTAGGCAACCTGTCCTCAGTACCCAAGATATCGCACGCATTTCTTTCTGACTTTCAAGGCTCCAACTGATCAAACACTCTTTTCCATTTTCCCATGTAGAGTGATTTCTCTTCTTGAATTTTGATAAAGATATTTTCTAGCCTGGAATGTTTCTTCCTCCATCTTTCTTCCTCCTAGTCAAGACTCACCTTTCTGAAGTCATTGTTAGCTGCATTCAAAATATTTTACTCATTTTTCCTGTGTATAGCACTTATGAATTACTGGGATAAGAGCTTAAGTAAAGGAACAGACACAACCAGAGCAGAGTTATACTAATTTAAATAGAAGAGAGGTGGCAACTGATGGGGATCATGAAACTCTTCTGCTCAGGTTGCTTCTAGGCTACTGACTGGGGCACAGCTTCAAAACATTGTTAGGAGTTACTGCTAAGTAAGGTTCTTGAAAATAAAAAAATATCTAAAAGAACACTAATAACTGCCACCCCTGGAAAAAGGATTTATAAACTACCACCTCCATTCAGTGTGCTATTCCCAACCAAACCCTCGACGGAGTCTTTAACATTGACCAGAATCATTAGAACAAGTCTTAGAGTAGAATTACGGTACATCACAGAGCCTATATTCCAGTTTGGAATGGGGAGGGTAGCATGTTGCGATTTTAAGCCATTCTCCTCAGCGTCATCCCACTTCTTCCTTTAAAGTAAACCCTTTCCGTGATCAGCTTCTTGATACCATAACCACAGCTTATTCATCTGTGACTAGAGGAATACTTTGCAAGGCTCAATTGGTCTGTAAATAATTTTTAATTAACAAATAGAGGAAACATATTATTATAGAATTACAGTCTTATACCTAGCTGGAAGCCAAGAGATACTTATTATCTTATAGATAATAAGGAAAATAAATAAATTTTAAAATAAATTGACTTGGTCCCCCAGACACTTACTATATAATTCAGGTTAGGACTAGGAAAATGGGTCTCGTGCTTCCCAGTCACTCTTTTGTCAACACATCATACTGTACTTTGTGAGTGGATGAAAATACCCAGTTATTTCTCAATGCAATGAACCCTTCTCAAATACTTTTAGGAGGAAGTTGGTCAGCTGTTACTGTGGCCTGATGATGTGACAGGTAAATGAAATCACTGGCCATACTCAACTACTGAGAATTCAGGCCTCTTACCCTCTTCTCTGAACACATTATTAACTAGGCTTAACTCACTTATGAAATAAACTCATAGAGAGGGCTCACCTTCCCAAAATAAATTACACCAATCCTCAGGGAGCTGCATTCTCAGGCGTGTTTCCTGAGATCAGTTGCAGAAGAGCTTCTGCTCTGACCTGTCTCCTCCTAGGGAGGGGATGGTAGGGACACCCAAAAGGTCCATAGTCACAACCATCACCCAGCTGTAACTAAGGGTGGAGCACTCAGAAAAGAGAAAGCTTAAAGATAGAATGAGGTCTTGTTTATTGGGGCTGGGGGAGGGCTAGATGTGGGCTTACTTCAAGAATATTTTGTTTGAAAGTCTGGTTTTAAATCTATTGTCTGTCATTTCATATCAGTGGGGAAAAGATGGATTATCCTGCAAACGGTTGAGGAGAAGTTGAGTAGCCATCTGAAAAATAAAGAAGTTGGACCTCTACCTAGAAACTTACAGCAATGTGTATTCCAGATGGACACAGATGTGTGTATTTTCCCCTTCTAGTCAGGAATTTCTACTCACTGTCCTTATGCATTACCTTTTCACGTTATTTCTATTATTTTATTTTTGTGTGTGTTTAGAATTCACCCCATATCCATTTAGCAAATAAGGAGCATATCTCTTAAATATATGGCCAATTAGTGTCTCCAAAAAATGGAGCCCTTCCCAAGGGGAGATACTCGGTAACAGTGGAAATTTAAAGTGGACTTCTACTTGGGGAAGGCTTTTTAAAGCACACTACAAAGCTTAGAAGCCATTAAGAAAAAAAGAATAGTAAATTTAAATAACTAAAAATTAAAGACATCGACACAGCCAAAATAAATAACCAAATCAATTTTTTAAATGGTAGTCTAGGAAAGAGGGTTGCAACGTATGTCAAATACCTAACCTTCCTAAATTATATAAGAAGGTATATATTATATTGTCATGACGAGACATGCATGCTATGATAATCAGGAGGAAAATACATGTTATTATTTATATCAAAAACTAGTTGAAGTATAAATAACAAAAATTAAGTTACAAGTTTGTTCGTTTTTTCCAGCAAAAACAAGGTCATGCTGTAGCTGTTATTAAACGCATCTGTGCGCAAGAAGGCGTGGGAAAAGGGGAGACGCACAGCTGGGATGGGAGCACTTTTATTCTGTCTTCACATAAATGTTTGAATTAAAGTATATATCGTTTTACTTTTTAATATGTTTGTCACTATTTTTCCGTAAATAATATTGGGATAGGAGCAAAGAAATCTGAGATATAACTTGTAGTAAGCCAATCAATGAAGCAAATTTTTCAGGTTGAAGGATAAGAGTGTCTCAGAAGATTGGTTTCAGCTGTGATATAATAACTTTTTTTTTCCTTTGTTTGTTTTGTTTTTTAATAGATCTTGTGATTTCAACGGCAGTTTTTACTTATTTAGTTAATGAAAAGTATTGCCTCTGCTTCACATCGAGCAACAAGCTCTGTGCTGAAAGTGAATTAAGTATGACTAAAATTTACTTCTTGTGAGCAGGAGACGTGTTTGCAAAAAACGGGGGAAAAACACTACAAAGCATAAGATAATGTGTGCCTTAAGAGTTACATTTACTAACTCTGGCATTTTAGCGGAGGGAATATTTAATTTTGGCAGCAATAATCAGGGAAAAGTTCTTGGGAGAAATAACATTTAGTCTGGACATTTAAACCAAGGACTCAAGTACATTTCAAGTGAAGAAGTGAGCTGCTATTTAGAAGTGAGAAAACTCTTAGAATATTTGAGGAACAGAATACATGATCAAAACATCTAGGATGTAACTTTTTTTTTTAATCTCAGAAGTATTAAAAAACAGTTCAACTTGGAAATATTTACCTTTGTCATTCTTTATAGGTAGCACGGTGGGCCTACCAGCAATAAGACTCTTTTCCTCTGATAAAGGCAGATGAGTGAAGGAAGGTGCTATAACTTCATAGAATCAGTTACAATTTCTAACCCAGCCACACTCCCTCAATCATCAAGGTGGGCGGTTGAGGTTTGGTTTCTAGAACTTTGACAAGAGACATGCCTTATAGGAGGATTTAAGATGAGGTTTTGTTTGCTTCTGGAGAATAAACTCTTTACTGTTCATTCCTTTGCTTTAGGAGAAGTTAAATGTTGAGAATTTACTTGTTCCAGGCTCGTGTTTGGTACTTTATCTTTAATGCCACAAGAAGGGAAACCAATGAAAAATCCTATGAGATGGGAAGCCTGAGAAGGAAAACTAAAAAGCAGTTCAAACAAATATAGACACATAAGAATAAACAGACCTGGTCCAAATGTAGGATGGGCTACTAAGGAAGAGAAGTCACAGCCGATTTCTTTCCCCGCTTTAATGGGGAATCTAGGTTTTGAAATTGTTGGAGATAAATACAGTGAATTACTTTCACGTGAACAGGATTGACTACTATCAATAAAGGATAAAACTGTGTTAAAAAAGGAGTGCAGAGGTAACTCGTTTTATGTCTTCTCTCATACGACTCTCTTAGGAGGCTCCTATCACTTAATTCTGTAGAAGTTATCAAACACCTGCCACATTCTTGGTGGTGTGCTACACCCAGTAGATGAGAAAATAAATGATCATCCCACATTGGACTGGTATTGCGAAGGTAGAGAAACACACGCTTATGTTTATATGGTTTCCTATCGTTTTAATGAGGAAG